CGAATTCATGAAATGTTGCAATGAAAGCTGAAATGGGGTCAATGGGCTCCAATCAAGTTTGGGATCTTGTAGAACCACCCGATGGGGTACGACCCATTGGATGTAAGTGGATCTATAAGAGAAAGAGAGGATCGGATGGGAAGGTGCAAACCTTCAAAGCTAGGCTTGTTGCAAAAGGTTATACACAGATCGAGGGTATTGATTATGATGAGACCCTCGAGCCCAGAAGGCAAGCAAACACATAGAGTGCAAATACCATCTGATTCGGGATATCGTTGGTAGACGAAACGTTGATGTTGCCAAGATTGCGTCAGAGGACAACCTAGCTGATCCTTTCACGAAGAGTTTGCCGGGGAAGGTCTTCGTTAAACACGTGGAAGGAATGGAAGTCATGAGCATGGCAATAGGATCGACATAGATCTTTTAGAATAACAGATTGATAGGACTATACTGTAAAAGCAAAAGCTTTAAGTATAAGTGGGAGATTGTTAGTGTTATATACTGAAAGCTTGGCTTTGCATGTTATTAAACATTTGCCCTTTATGAATGAGAATCGTGTTAGATTAAAAAAATTTTACGTTCTGTTGTTCTGCACTTAGATAGGGTGGGTCGTCATCGGGCGAACCGAATATCACTCTATCAGTCAGTTGCGAACAAGAATAGTTGTTCACAACCTAGATGGACATGAACACCCCATCCGAACGGTTGTAGTGTCAACTGTATAGTTTGTCTTGACTGATTAGTCGCACTAGTACATTTATGTATTGAACATGATCCCAGAGAGCAGAAGTTCATTTTATACTGATCGTCGTAAATGAACTACGCCTCGGTTAATTATTGCGTTCTCTTAACCCGTAAGATATTAAACAGGCAGATATATATAGTATATATTACTTTGATTTACTTGGGTAAGGTTCAGTTCATTGGATCAATATTCCTACTGTTTTGGGTAATATTATTATATATAGGATATGCTGTTAAGATATATACGGTCACCATATGCGTTAGTTTGATGATGTCCCCGTAGTGAGTTCATGAAAGATTGTTATGCTAAACCCTACAGGTGGATTAAATTCCAGCATAATAAGAACGTGAGGAACGAGCGCTAGCTTCGGTGAAATAATAATAAATTAATTAATTCTTGATTGTCAGTAATCATATCGAATTAGTTAATGGACATTATATCTTAAACGCGGGGAGGTAAATCGAGTAATTATTATTGGAGTCTCAAATGTAATTTGGGCTAGGAAAAGAGAGTACAATAATATAATGTTGGTGGTCCATTAACATTATTTATTTAATTAGAGGAGTGGGCTTGGCCCACAGTTTGTCTAATTAATTAAGGAGCCCTTTTCCTAATCTCCTAAGGGTTCCTACTGTAGCTCTATATATACATCATTAAGCTCATGAGAAGTGAATACATCTGTCGTAATTCACAAACACGCCGCCCATACTCTCCCTCTACATCTCATTCGAGCTTTATCTTCTTCTTGTTGCTCCACTGGTACAAGTTGAAGAATGCTGTATTGAGTAATACAGTAGAAGATCTGTAGGTAAACCGAGATGAAATATATTTTATTCTACAGAACTAACCGGAGGTCCGATTGAGATGCACAACATACCCAGACGACCGTCTCGACGAGAGATTTTCATCGCCGCCGGAAGCTCTCAGACTGCAAGTTTTGTTTTGATCTGTTTGCATCCGTTTGATCCAGTTTTGATCTGATCTTGTTCGTGCAACCCAAGACGTGATTTGCGGTCAACCGTTCGTGGTCAACCATCCCTACATAAATTTTAAGCCGTAAGTTCTCTACGTCAAACCTTTAGATCCGTTGTGCATAAGTTTACGTTTGCTAAGAATTCGTGACTTGTGCATAACGAGATCCTCATAGATCTTAACATACCATACATCACATTTCATTTTCTTATATAATTCATTCATTTGTTTTTATTTTTTTTTTTTTGCCAAAACGATAGAGGTTTTATATAAATGGGCAAAAATGTGCAAAAGTACAACCACCAGCTGAATTCAGTCAGCCAATAGCTGAATACAGACAGCCAACAGCTGCTGAGAGGACAGGTCAAAAGACCGCCTAGAACCGACCCCAACGTAGTAATACTCTAGAAACATGAAAAAACACTACGACACTAAAAGCTTCCAAAGGGAGAATAAAAACACAAAAGAAAAAGAAACGACCCCAATAGGGTAATACCTGAGTGTACGATCCCAACAGGATAATAAAGTCACACTCCGGCTAACCGAGGCCAATAGCCCAAACCTAAAACACAAACATAAATACAGACAAACACCAAACGAATGAAAAAACAAACACTAATATAGAGATAAAACAACTAAATACAACAATGAACGCCCTTCCCCAGCAAACAAACGGATCAAGACCATCAGAGAACCTAAGCCCAAGCATGACTTCCGAAACAACTGCCGAACGCCTATACAGAAGCATAACCCGGACCCCGAACCTAACCTGAATCGACCCACCTTCAACCGAGACAATCAGCCAGCTCCCCAAATCAGCACTGCACGAGCTCGCCTAACACCACTAGCCAGGCTCGGCAAAGCCAAAACACCCCAGTAGTCTAACACCAGAAAACCAAAGCTCGGTCCCCAAGAACAATGGCAACAGCACCGCACGCCAACACAGCCCGAAACTCGTCTAACACCACTAGTCAAGCTCGAGAGTGTTGGACCCACTCGTCGTCCCCAACAACAGAGAACCGAGGGAGGAGAGCGGCTCGTTATCCAACTCCAATTTCTCCGACGCAAATCGCCGCACGAAGTCCCAACCCACCTGTTGAAACCGCACTTCACCCAACAACACCGCTGACCTTCTACAACCAAAGCTCGGAAGTTCTACCGGAAAAGGCGAAATTGGCCGGAAAGCCCCAATCTCAAACAGACAACAGATCGAGGCCAATCTGCCAAGCGAAAGAAGACTCACCTGCGATTGAGAGGAGACCGCCCATGACAGACCCGACGGAGACACACCGGGACCTAGAAGCACCCTACCACCAGCCGCAAGCCCGCCGGCAGTCGAGAGAAGAACTTTAGTCATTAGTTTTTAAAAATGTTTCTTCTTCTTATTTTAAGATCTTATAACTTTTTATTTGTATTTTATTTTTCATATATGATATATCAAATTAACTATCTTTTAACGATTTTTGATTTGACATTCATATTATATATATATATAATACAAAATATTAATATATATCCTTATAGATAAAATTTAAATTTATTTATCAAACTAAATTAGATTATATCGAATAAAACTATAAATTATATTATAAAGTAATAGAAATTGGTATGTATTCTTTTAAATGATATTTATTTCAAATCTAATTAGTATGTTGTCAATCTAATAAAAATAAATAATTATTTATCTAAATTCTAAGATTACATATAAAGTTAAAAAACTGTGAAGCACGACTGATACGACACTTGATATATTAGGCATCTAATAAAGTAAAAAAATAATTTATTTTGCTCAATATCAAATAAACATATTATACACTTATGCATATACGTATCACCATATTATTTCTATTTATTTAAGCTATATATTTTTGTAGTACTTATGTAATAGTTAATAATATCGATATTTTTATATGATATAAGGAAAAAAATTCAACACGAGTTTGACATTTTCATTTAATGTACGTGTGTTTAATTATTATGGTTAAAAAAATATAACTTCACAATTTAATTAAAACTTAAAGTAATGTTTTATATAAAATTAAATTATGTTAGCTTTTTAAGAAAATAAAAAATTTAATATTTTTTACAAAAGTTTTTTAATTCAACACCCGTGTATTACACGGGCATTGTACTAGTATATATTATTCATAAATATAGTGATTCAGATGTATGTTATGCAATTTATATTTATATTGTTACTTTTTACTAGCTTATTTAACTTATAACTTTATATTATATGCATGTATATAATATATCCCTCTTTATATATTAATTCAAAACGTGTTGAGCCTAAGTGCAAACTCACATGCTTCAAATGCTGACATGACAAAAATCTATGCTTCAGAATGTTGTTTTTATATTAATTTTTTACTTTAGAATTAGGATTCGTATAGACATAAATAACTTTTTTTCAAACTTGATAAGTGTATATTTAATTTTGTTTTCTTTTTCTCTTAGTACAAATTTTTAACTCAATACCCGTGTATTACACGGGTATTATACTAGTAATATTTTATTTTGAATGCAAGATAAGTTGATTTTAAAGATAAAGATGCCGATTGTCGCTGGCAATTAATAGCAACGCATCATTTTTTCTGCACGTTCCATTAATAACAGTTGAAAACTACAAAACGCAAAGAAAACCATTCAATTGTTAATTGTGAGTGTGGTCCTGAATCCTGAAGTTCCAACTCTACACAATGTACTATTTATTTATTGTACATACATAAATGATTGCAGAAATTATTTTGAACGTATAAAAATTGTAATTTACTTTACTATTCTTTAGTGCTTTGGTGCGTTTCAAGTAGTATTCTTGTTCTGGGGTATTACGTGTGTGATGTAGTAGTTTTGTTTGTTTTCTCGTGTAGTTGTTTTTGCTGGTCCAACTCCGTTTGGTTTAGTCTCCTTCATATAGTTTTAGTCTTTTTTTGGAGTTATCTAGTATCCTTATTGGTGTTTATATCTTCTTGGTCACATGTGTAATTTTAAAGGGGGTTTAATGCACCAAATTCCCCTGTATTATACTAAATCGGCGCGTTTCCTTCCTCTAATTCAAAAATTGCGTCAGACCCCCTTCTATTAAGGTTTTGCATGCGCGAAACACCCTAAATCGTCTAAGATGACAGAAGTGGCGTGCACGCGCGTGCTGTGCGGCTGTTTCTTCATCTTTTCACCTAAAATCGCAGAATTTACATTTTTACCCTTAAAACCAACCATTTAAATGCCTTCTTCCCCACATTTGACCCTAATCTCGCGCAGCCATTCCCTTCCCTTCTTCATTTCAGCTACTTTTTTTTTTTAATTGTCGCCGCTGAATTGTCGCCGCCACCTCACTGCCACTACCACCATTCATTTTCTTTCTCTTCATGCTCTCGCCGGCCCTTTTCCCAATTTCATTCCTTCCCAAAAGCCCATCTTTGAAAACCTCGCCATCTGAGGATTCGGACGGATCGCCGCCGAATCCCTTCTCCATGGAGTCCATCCCCTGGAAGTGGGCCCACGACGAGGCATACAGGCGGATGCCGCCGCTCGCGGCGGTACCGCTTGCAGAGCTTCTCCATCTTGTGGCGGCACTGGACGGCGGTCTTCGGAGGCGTGCCGGGGCAGCGCAGCGGAGGTTGCTGCGTCGGAGGGAGCACCAGTTGTCCCTATAGGCGTCAATAATGGTCGTCGTCTCGTTGGGCGACCAACATCGGGGAGGGAGGCGGCGGACGTCGATGGCGACGACGGCGGTCACGGCAAGGAGGGCTAGGGCGGTGGGGATGTGGCGGTCGTCGTCACCGCAAGGGGAGGATGAGGACGGGGACAAGATCGTGGAGGCCATGCCTGTTTCTGCAAACGACGATCTGGTGAATAATTGGAGGATGAGAGAGAAAGTGAGGAGGGGGCGGCGGAGGGTTGTGGCGTGAATGAGGGGAGATCTGATTTTTTATTGAATTTGGGAAGAATTTAATGATTGGATCGCGAAGAGAGATTATGTTTATGATTGATTGAAATTTCAATTTCACTTGTAAAATATAATAATAAAGGAGGGCATAACGGAAAGTTTACAAAAAAATTAACGGGGTTAACACTAAAATGTAACTTAGGGAGCGTCAGCTCGTCAAACCTTAATAGAAGGGGGTCTGATGCAATTTTTGAATTAGAGGGGGGGAAACGAGTGGATTTAGTATAATACAGGGGGATTTGGTGCATTAAACCCATTTCAAAGGAGTTAGCTCAGCCTTTGTTTTGGTTCCAGCAGTGGTATCCGTTGACACCTGATGTAGAGGATGTTACGAAAAAGGAGAATTTCGAACTCAAGAAGTACAGACAATTTTATTTCACGATCAAACTGTTTTCTCTCATCTGTTCCCCGTACATAAATAAGTAGTTTCCACTAACTCCACTTCTTAAAAAATGATAAGTCCTAATAATTAAATAAACACCCCATGGCTAATAAAAATAACACAACTGCAACTACTAGTAGAAAATAATCCCAAAGATAAATAAAGCAATAAAATAAATATGCCAAACACGCAAACGGTCGTATTTCTGCAAATACGTCAAAGCGGCCTCGTCTCCATCATTCTCCCCGGGTTGGAAAGGATTCGCCCTCGAATCCGGATGGGCCTCATCATCATCGGAATTGTCACCTGCGAACGGCACCAAATGCTTGATGTTAAAAACGTCAGAAGTGGGAAGATGAGACGGCAAGCGGAGACGATAGGCATTGGGATTGATCTTCTCAATCACCTCGACTGGGCCAATCTTCCGGGCAGATAACTTATTGTACTCATGGGCCGTACACCGGTCCTTTATCATAACAGCCAAACATAATCACCGACCTCGAACTCCACGTGTCTTCTCCGAACGTCTTTCTGATGCTTATAGGCCGCGGTGGTGGCCTCCAGTCGAGCCCGGGTCTTCTCTTGTGTGGCCTGCAACTCGGCGATCAAATTCGCCGCCCGCCGATCGGTCGAAGCCACCGACGGGAGGATCAACAGATCAGATGGTCCACGGGGGCGAACCGCGTAGACGACCTCAAAAGGCGAATAACCAGTGACACGACTCACGGCCGAGTTATGTGCGAACTCGGGCTGGCTCAACCGCTGATCCCAGCTACGAAGGTTATCGCCCACCAAACAACGAAGTAAGTTTCCGAGCAAGCGGTTCACCACTTCGGTCTGCCCTTCCGTCTGTGGATGATGCGCGCTGCTTAAATCCAAGCTAGTGTTCGCCATGCGCCATAAGCTGCGCCAAAAGAGACTCAGAAACCGAGTGTCACGATCCGAGACAATCGAGGACGGAAGGCCATGTAGACGGTAAACCTCACGAAAGAATAGTTGAGCCACATGAACCGCATCGGTGGTGCGCTTACAAGGGATAAAATGCACCATTTTCGAAAACTGACCAACAACCACAAAGATAGAATCAGAGCCTCGCTGTGTACGAGGGAAACCCAACACAAAATCCATGCTAATCGCACACCAGGGCTGCGAAGAAATAGGCAAAGGGCAATATAGTTCTGCATTCGAAGCAACTCCCTTCGCCACGTGACAAACCCGACAGCGCTCCACATAGCACGCCACATCACGCCGGAGGGTCAGCCAGAAATAAGAGCGACGAACCAACTCCACCGAACGATCCCGGCCCACATGACTGACATCATGGAGGTCCCATATGAGCTTCAGCCGAAGGCTACAATCCAGGATGCACAGTCGAAGCCCACAAAATAGGAAACCATCAGCTAGTGTGTAGTCCTCAAAAGGACCAATCGCTAGGCTGCTCACAATCGGGCCGAAAAAAGGATCATCAAAATAAACCTCCCGCAAGACATCAAAACCCACGACGGAAATGCGCATGTCAGATAAGAAAAGTGCGCGCTGACTCAAGGCATCGGCCACCCAGTTCGAAGCAGCGGATCTATGTCGAAGGACAAACGTAAACTGCTGCAGAAAGGCTGTCCAAGAGGCATGACGGGTAGAGATAGTATCCTGGGAAGCTAAATGACGTAAAGCCTAGTGGTTCGCGAAGAGAATAAATTCCCTATGAAAAAGATAGTGGCGCCAATGTTGGACTGCCTGAACGACTGCATAAAACTCGACATCGTAGGTACTGTACCGCAGTCGTGGCCCAGATAACTTCTCACTAAAAAAAGAGACTAGCCGACCATCCTGACTAAGGACAGCGCTAATCCCCACCTTGGAGGCATCACAAGAAAGCTTGAACGGCCTCGAAAAATCCGGCAACACGAGAACAGGAGCAGATGTTAGACTGGTCTTAATCAGAGCAAAAGCAGCCTCCGCTGTTGGCGTCCACACAAAAAACTTACTTGAGAGGCAATCAGTAATTGGTGTCGTGATAGTACTGAAATGTGAGATGAAGCGGCGGTAGAACGACGCAAGGCCATGAAAGCTACGTGCCTCCGTGAAAGATGTCGGAGTCGGCCAATCACGAATGGCCGCCACCTTACCCTCATCAACGCGGATCCCCTCACCCGAAATCACAAAACCCAAAAATAAAACAGACTCCACCAAAAAGCAACATTTACGAAGAGCAGCAAAGAAAGATTCAGTACGTAAAATAAGAAGTACCTCCCGGAAGTGTTGTAAATGCTCGTCCAATGTGCGACTGTAAATGAGAATGTCATAAAAATAAATGACGACACTCTTCCCAATAAGATCCCAAAGAGCCTGGTTCATCACTCTCATAAAAGTGTTCGGTGCATTGGACAAGCCGAATGGCATGACCATCCACTCAAAAAGCCCTTCCCGAATTTTAAAGGCTGTCTTCCACTCATCGCCTGGTAGGATCCGGATCTGATGGTACCCGCTACGGAGATCCAATTTGGTGAAGATCGTTGCCCCGTGAAGTTGGTCTAATAAGTCATCCAACTGAGGGATCGCAAAACGGTAACGGACCGTGATCTTATTGATCGCACGGCTATCCACACACATGCGCCAGGAGCTGTCCCTCTTGGGGACTAAGAGGGCTGGAACTGCACACGGGCTCAGGCTCCGACGAACCAATCCACAGTGGAGTAGCTCCTCCACTTGCCTCCGTAATTCTTCATGTTATGTCGGGCTCATACGGTAGTGTGGCCTATTCGGCAGTGAAGCCCCTGGAACCAGATCAATGTGATGTTGAATGTCTCGTAGAGGTGGAAGTCCGGAAGGAAGGTCGGGAGGAAAAACATCAGCGAACTCCGAAAGCAACGGCTGAATGGACTGAGGTGGCTCCTGCTCGACCGCGGTGTCTGAACCCACAAGCAAGAGAACAAACTGCGCCGACTGCATTTCGACCCCAAAGGCCGCTTGAGGAACGAAAAGCACATTTGACGGAGTCGGTGGCGGTGTAGGACGATGCTGACTAGGGTGTAGTGTTACCTGAATATCGGCGAAGTTGAAGCTGTAAGTGTTAAGTCTGCCGTCGTGAGTTGCTGCCAAGTCATACTGCCAAGGCCGACCGAGTAGCAAGTGGCATGCATCCATAAGAACCACATCGCACCACACCTGGTCGCCATACGTCGCGCCAATCGATAAAGACACCAAAGCCCGACGGTCAATTGTAATAGCACGATCACGATGAATCCATGCCAACATGTAAGGGTGAGGATGTGGCTCGCTGGACAATTTCAATTTATCAACGGCCTCCTGTGCTATGACATTTTCGCAAGAGCCAGAATCGATAATAAAGCGGCAAACTTTGTCGCCAATGGTGCAGGTAGACTCAAAAGTGTGGTGTCGCTCAATGGCCCTATCAACAGGCGAACGAGGTGTCAAGCATGTGCAACGGAGAACAAATGTCGTGCCCACATCCCAGCGATGGTGTTCCTCGCTCAAGCCAGGCTCGACATAAAAAACTGGTGGTCCCTCGTACTCAGCAGCCTCCTCATGTTCACCGTCATCCTCAAGAAATAAACCACGCGAACTCGAGCCCCGCGGACATGCCGATTGACGGTGCCCGAGCTCCCCGCAATTGAAACAACGCAGCCCGCCACCCGCACGCGGGCCCGTAGGCACTACCGACTGTCGTGGTGGCCCGCACCCCGTCACCGGAAAACGCCCGGTGCCATCAGCCTGTCTTGCTTCGGTTCCCACCGGAAGAGCCACACGACTCGGCGGGGGAGCACCTCCGAAGGACGTCCCGACCCGCGAAGCTGAAGGAAAAGCATTGTTGGACTTGCGGGCCAACTGTTGTTCAACAAGTCGGGGTCGTTGATGGGCATCCGAAACAGACTCCGGTCGAACCAGATTTAACATATCCTGTATGGTCACCCGCAACCCACTGACATACCGGGAAATTAATTGGGATTTCGTCTCCCGTATCTCAACACGATTCAAAAGCTGATAAAACTCGTTCGTATATTCATCAACCGAACGAGTACCTTGCCTCAAATTATGCAGCTACTGATAGACGACACTATCGTAATTGAAAGACAAAAACTCATCCTCCACATACTTACGGAATTTCATCCAGGAAATAATTGGGGACTTCCCTTGACGATGCCGCATACTCGTAATATGCATCCACCAAGTCGCAGCTCGACCACGAAAACGAGTAGCAACGAAGGCGACACGCTTATCCTCCGGGACCGCCTTAAATGCCAACACCAATCCACTGCAGCCCACCAATCAACAAAATCTCCTGGCTCCCCACTACCATGAAATTCTGGGATGTCAGCCCGCAACCCCATCGCCCAACTCGAGTCCTTGCCACCATCTATCGGGCGCCGAACCTCACGCTGCTGCTGCCACGGGTCGTTCGCACTCCCGTCATCACCGAAATGACCACGCCGACGCCAGCCCGCTTCTGCTCGAAGCTCGCGTTCCCGACGACGGTCACTTCAGTCCCCCTCAAACCCTTCATCGTCAGACAGAGGCCACCCCCGACAGAAAAACCCGTCGTCCTCCGTCTCCCCTCCAGCCCGCCATGGACCCCTCGCACGGAGACCGTCTGCACCGTCACGCCATCCCTGGCCGAACCCTAACCTGTCGTCCCCTTGTCCGCGAAATCCTAAGCCGCCGTAGCCAAATCTGAACCCAGGTTTTCTGCTGTGCCTGTGGATCCTGTCGGCGAAAGGGTTGTCAACCGTCCAAGTGTCGTCGGAGTCGTCACCGGTTGGCAGTGGTGGACGCGATCGTTGGCGGGGCGCCCCGCCAAATCCCCGACCCCCTCGACCACCGCGATGTCCCTCGCGAGTGCCCCGGTCAGCCACGTCGCGATTTCGACGCATCTCCTCCATCATGGTGCCCATCGTCAGTCGTAGCTCCTCGAATCCCGTCGAGAGATCCGTAAATCGTTCATCAAAACCATTAAATCGCTTATCAATTCTTTGAAATCGTTCATCAACGGAATTGTTGTTCACGGCTTTGTCTCTCTTTGGTGACATCGTGGTTCGTCGGCTGGTCTGCTAATACCAACTGATGTAGAGGATGTTACGAAAAGGGAGAATTTCGAACTCAAGAAGAACAGACAATTTTATTTCACTATCAAACTGTTTTCTCTCATCTGTTCCCCTTACATAAATAAGGGATTTTCACTAACTCCACTTCCTAAAAATTGATAAGTCGTAATAATTAAATAAACACCCCTTGACTAATAAAAATAACACAACTGCAACTACTAGTAGAAAACAATCCCAAAGATAAATAAAGCAATAAAATAAATATGCTAAACACGCAAACGATCGTATTTCTGCAAATACGTCAAAGCGGCCTCGTCTCCATCAACACCTCAATTATACTATTTTAAGTTTTCAGATTATTAATATAGTTTTCATATAAAGAAAAAAAAAACGAATCTTTCGTGTAAATGAATTATACTAGCACGACTAGTATAATTCGGATTATCAAAATGACCGATGTCATATTACTCGGATTCACATCGGTTACTATGAAAACCGACGTCAAACCTTTTTGTCGAAATAGTCTTCTTGCATCGGCTTTATAAAAACCGATGTAAAATAAAGCATTTACAACAATTTTATTTAAATATATATTTTTTTACCTATACATCTAAGAATTTATTACTGCAAAATAATAACATTCATAACATTCAAAATATTCTTACAATTCAACAGAAACCCACATGAGAAATACTAAAAACCAAAATATTTTAAAAACGCCAAGTTATAACAACAATTTTCATATGCACTACACCAACAATAGTCATCAACCACAGTTATAAAGTTCAGATTCCATAAAACGTAAGCAAACTGATAAGTCTATTTTCCTAAGTAACCTCAAGAAAGTACTTCGTCCACCGCATTTTTATATTTTCAATGTCCTCGTCCGAATATGGCTCATCAATGTTGAAAGCCTACATGATACAAACGAATATTATCACTATAACCTGCATTGAATTGTGCGGTTTCAAATACAACAAAAAGTTAATTTTAATAAAAAACTTACCTCTTCGAACGAGTCGGTAATGTCAAGTAATATAATCTGGAGCATATACAGCATAACAAAATATCCACATTCTATATCTCCCAATTGTTTTCGACACTTGTATGAAAAAACATAAAAACATCATTTATACTACACATACTAAATCGATGCATAAAACCAAGGAAATAATAAAAATCTCCAAAATCAAAACACCTAACATCATTCAATAAATTTACCTTAAGTAGAACCCATTGAGGCTTGAGGTTACGTTTTCCCTTAACCATGAAGTATGTACGAAATACACTGCAACATAATAAATATTCGTATTACTTGAAAGACAAAATAAGCCAAAATGTAAAAGATAATATATTTAAAATACATTTAGCAAAGAAAAGTTAACTACAAAATTGATCTAATTTATCAATTTAAAAACATCCCTGTTAATCTTGGTTACCAACTCTGTGTTGGGATCTTTTCTCAACGAGCACAAACTCCCGTTACTGTCCAGGCAATTCACGCACGGACATAAGAACTTTCCGTTACTGTTAGGATCATGCGTGCTAGCAAACTCCAAGAACTCATTTACTCCATTTTCATATTCTAAACTTGTCCGGGGGGGAGCATATATCCATTTACGATCCATAATTACATAACAGAATCCCAGATAACAAAAAGTATCAATTTTTTCCCATGAATTTGTACAGCTACAAATTAAATTACCCAAAATACCCCTCAGCTCGGATTATTTCCCATGATAATATGTTCTTAATTTAAATTTTCGGGCCCAACGGGCTTAAATATAGACAGCAACAGCGAGACGCAATGCTTTGCTTTAAAGCATGCAAATGAGGTTTGTTCTCTTGATTAGTTGATTTAATATGTGGGCCTTTTTATGTCTCAATTACTGAGATCCATCCAGATTATTTTGAGAAATTTACACCCTATACTATCAAATATATTTTATATTACACATTTACACCTAATTGATATTTATTTGCAAAGATACAAAATCACCCTAAAATAATTGCACATATACTAGAATTCAAACTTAAGTCAGCTTATCCTTTAATTAGAAAAAGAGACGGATTTAATGGGATTTAATACCGTAACTTTCTTCTATTCACTTTTATTTTCAGAATCTTGTACCCAATTTTCTTCTCTCCATGGTCCATACTCTGTCTTGAGGGAAAAGCAAAAACGAAATTCACCCCTTTTTTCTCCTCTGATACTAACAGAGAAAGGCAGACACAAATCACTACACCTATCTCGGGAATTTCGAGAAGCTGAGTTTAAAAAATGATCAGGAATCAATACGACACCGACGTGACGACATGGTCGCCGGCGGGGCGGCTGTTCCAAGTGGAGTACGCGATGGAGGCGGTGAAGCAGGGCTCCGTGGCGAATCAAATTGACATTCTTGGCCAAATTGTGGGGATTTTGGACATGTGATTGTCGTTAGCCAGTGGATCAGGCGGCGGTTGTGATCGAGCACCGATTGGACCTCCTTGAAGCTATTGCGTAGGGTTTCCCATGTTTCCAAGTCACAGGGCCCCTCGCCGTCTGCTTCTTCATCGTCGTCCGTATCCTCGTGTAAGATGCGAGTGGCGACGGTGGTGGTTAGGGTTTGTGGAGTATTGTCCATAGTCGGTTGATCAAGGAATTGGGCTTGGCTCAATTTTCATTTGGTTATCGGAAAATTGAAATGATCTATTGGAATAGGCGGCGAACATCAACGGATAGGCGGCTATGTATTAGTACCCGTAAATGTTGAGTATATGTTGAGTATATAGACAGTATATTTTCAGTTTATAGACATTTTACATATGGATTATTTACATGTTGCTCAGACGACACGTATATGTTGAGTATATAGACAGTATATTTTCAATTTATTTACATTTTGCTCAGACGCACGTATATGTTGAGTATATAGACAATATATTTTCAATTTTATAGACATTTTTATGTTTTCAAAATATTCAAAATATGATTTAAAACAAAAATAAACTGATTTTTGTTGTTGTTGTTGTATATATGTATAGTTTATATACATAGTCCATTCATCATATAATGAATGAAAATCATCATAGGTGACTTCATCCACAAAAATATAAAAAACATACACCTTTAATATACCAAAACAAAACGATATATAACAGAAGATGGAGTATATGTTCAATATATGTTCTGTATATTAGAAGATTTTTTTGTTAGAGAATATAAGCAACATGTTATAATATGTTTATAAACTATATATATACTTTTACGTATAAAAGTAAAAAAAAAAAAAGGAAGACATAATTTTTTGATGGAAGACATGTTTTTTCATTGTAACATATACTGAATATATACTAACATATACGCAATATATACCACCGGACAGCTGCGTGAATTACAAAACATGTTTTTATTTCTCTCTATTAAAAACGTGCGCGAATTAAGGAATTAAATGGGTCGGTTATTTATTTTTATTTCTCTCTCTTAATCAAGTGCATAAAAAGGGGGATGGAAGTGTGAAAGATATGGTAACTTACTTTAGACATTAATATAGATAAATAAGGTCTTTTAGGTAGAGACATAATTATTTTTACTTGCATGGTAAAGTTGCAATTAATTTAAAATCACATAGCATACAGAAAAATTTCCCAATTATTTTTATCATGTATCGAACTCCATGGTGCAATGTAGATCTAAAAGGATGAATATTATCTTAATATTCAGTATTTTTCATTATCATCCACACAGGGGCAGAGGTACATCCAAGTGTTTACCTGGGCTGTAGTCCGGAAAAAATAATCACTATTTCATGTATTGTATACTGAATTTTATAATTTAGCCCAGGCCCAGTTTCAATAAACTTAAAACTAGCCCACCCAACCCAACAATAAATATAAAATGTACGTGAAAGTCTAATTAAATATTGTAACTAATTTAATAATCAAATTACACAGAGGGAGCCACCGTCATTTTCAATTTGCAAGTTGCAATTGTACATTCACCCTTCTGCAAGAAGGGTCGGAAAGCCTTGCCCACCCGTCCGCCCAAATTCCTGCTTCAGGTGGAAATTTTAAAATATATTTGCTCTTTAGTTTGTATTATTCTTTTAGTAAATTATCATGATAGAAAATTAATCATGTTTAATAAATTACTACAATTTATATAATTTGTCAGATGTAGATTTATATTCACAACAAGCTATGACTTTTTTAGTTTTATTACAATAGATCATGATGATTTTGTATTTTTGTGTTAACATCTTTTTGATTAGGTATTTTAATGTTAAATCAAGAGAGAAAAAGACCAAATATTATCTCGTTCTTCATTGTAAAATGAAATAACTGGTTTAATAACTTTTTTGTTTAACATTTGTTAATTTTATACAGGATACAAAAGTTGTAAACGAGAAATGAAGAAAACAAAATGTTTGTTAGAATGCAATAAAAATGTACATTTTTTATTAAATTGTTGTATACAAATATGTAGATTTTTTTTTTTTGGTCAAAAATAATTCTAGCCCGGGTAGATTTAAAATTCTGGCTCCGTCCCTGCATCCACATATATTCATCACATCTTGCTTTGTATATCTATTATTGTATAACAATTACCTCAATGATGAATATAATGGATACATGTGATGAGTGACTTTTTTAAACCATATAATCAAGTTGTTTAAATGACAGTCATTGCGTAGCCTATTAATCATTATATTTGATATATATATATATATATATATATATATATATATATAGGGGATGGTTCCAATAGGTCCCCCTCTTAAAATGTGGACGTGAGACCCAATCTAAACCGTTGAATCTGCCTTTTAAATCTACGGTCAGCATCAGGTATATATATATAATTATAAAATCACGAGCTGAAAAATCACAAACCTTCAGCTCGCGCGCACACAAAATCGGAAATAATATCTCAGATTTCCTCCTCAATCACGATTCTCTGCAATTTCTTTCTCAATCTCGATTTCCTTATCAACTTGAAGTTCGATTTCATCGTCTGATTAGGTTTAACTCTCGTTTTCTATAGGCAAACTCAACTGCTCGTCAAAAATATCCAGGGAAAAAAAAGTCGATTTCATCAAATTTATCTACAAATGTCGACGGAAGCAGCTTCAATGGAGATCGAAGCAACTCCAGTTGCGCCATTAATGGAAGAAGGTATACTGACTTTAAATAAAATAGTTGCTGATAGAAAATATTGATTTACTCTATTTATAACTTTAAATAAAATAGTTGCTGATGAATGAAAATCGAGTTATTCAATTAGAATCAATCACGTAATATTGAAAAAATTGTTCGTGCTTATCTGCAATTTTGATTTTTGTAGAATCTCTGTTTTCTGGCAAGAATATTATATAATGTTGATGCAGTTGTTCAAAATTTTATAATGTTGCTGATAATGTTGAATAAATTGTCCATGTTATTCTGGAATTTTGATTCATGATGTAACTAACACCTAGCAGCACTACATCACTAACTTAGCAGCAGTAGACAACTAACCTAGCGGAACATAGTTCTAACCTAGCAAAACACATAAAACGAACATAGCACCTACATACAACTAACCTAGCAGCATGAGAGAAATAACCTAGCAGCATTAGAGAACTAACCTAGCAACTACATACAACTAACCTAGCAGCATCAGAGAACTATCCTAGCAAATAAATATAACTAACTTAGCAACTACAGACAATTGACCTAGCTGAGAGAAGTAACCTAGCAGCATGAGAGAAGTAACCTAGCAGCATGAGTGAACTACCCTAGCAGCATCAGAGAAGTAACCTAGCAGCATGAGTGAACTAACCTAGCAGCATCAGAGAACTATCCTAGCAATTAAATATAACTAACTTAGCAACTACAGACAATTGACCCAGCAACTAAAAGACAACAAACCTACCAACAAGAGACAACTAACCTAGCAACAAGAGACATATAAACTTGCAAACAGATATAACTATCCTAGCAGCAAACATACAACTAACATTGCAACACGATATAAAATAACCTTGCATTTGCAATTATTAAGGCTAATGTTTTTGTATGATATTTTGCAACAGGTATTACACATGATGGATGTCAATTTCAATTGGTGATATCACCAAATTCAACAAAGTACTGGATACCGATTGTCAAAGAAGATTTAAGACCAAAAGTTGGCATGCTCTTTGAGAATCTGGAAATTGGGATGCAATATTACAGAAACTATGGAGCAAATGGTGGATTTGATGTTCGTACTAGTACAAAAAAACGTTTTAGAAGTGGGATGGTGAGAAAACAATTCATAGTTTGCAGCAAGGAAGGATTTAAACTACAATCCAGACCCAAAAGTTCAACAGGAGTTCATTGAGAACGTGTTTCAAAAAGAATTGGTTGCATGGCTCGGGCAGTGTTTGAATACGATGATGGAAAAGGATACAAAATTACATATTTCGAAGAGAAACACAGCCACAGTTTGACGTTGGAAGCACATTATTTGAATGCAAACAGGCAACTGAACTATGGCCATCAGATGTGTGCCTGTGCATATTGAAAAGGAGCATGAAACAACCAGATATAAGGTTGTAGAAGTTGGTCGAGATGGTATTGACTTCATTCTTAATAAGTGCGGGGATTGGGTAGATTGCAGCTGCAAAAAGTTTCAACAGTTTGGATTGTTATGTTGTCACGCAATAATGCTAATCAAGGATTTAGAAAAGATACCAGAGAAATACCTCCTCAACCGTTGGCTTAAGGTTGCTTCTTCTGGACATGGTATTGATAATGCAAGATTAAATCCACTTGATGGCAAAAATCAGAGAAATGCATATCTAAACAATCTATGGTCTGATTTTTATTGTTGTATAAGTCTTGCTGAAGGTAATGATGATAAATTGGAACGATTATCGAGGATTATAAATGAAGAAAAGAACCATTTGTTGGGTGCACATCAAGTTTCAAGTTCAATACTAAGTAGAGGAGCTGTGATACAAGAGTTCTGTGGATCTGTTTCAAATCTCGAGGTTGATATCCTGCCACCACAGCAAGCAAAAAATAAGGGGAGCGGAAGCAGCACAAAAAGCCGATTGTTGTCACAACGAGAAAAATCTATCAAAGAAAGTCAAAAGTTGAAAAGACGTTGTGGAAAATGTGGAGAAGTGGGAAATCATAATAGTAGAACTTGTAATAAGACCAGTGACATTCCTGCTTGTAATAAGTAGAAATTTGATGTGTTGTTATTGCATAGTATTATTTCAGAAAACATAGCATATGCATACAACTAACCTTGCAGCGAAATTGAAATAACCTAGCAGCAGAAAAAAACTAACCTAGCAGCGAAATTGAAATAACCTAGCGGGAAGAAAGAATTAACCTAGCAAAAACATACAACTAACCTAGCAGCATTAGACAACTAACCTTGCAACAAAAAGCAACTAAACTAGCAGCGTGTAAGTAATAACCTAGCAACTTATAATATCTAACGTACCAGCAAGAAATATATAAACTAGAAGCAACTACCCTAACATTGTTAGACAACTAACCTAGCATCAACAGACAACTAACCTAGCAATATATAACAACTAACCTAGCCACAATATTTAAGTCTTATGAAAAAGTCGTGTATTAATATGGGTAGTTATGGGTCAATAAAGGCAGACTTCATATAAAGTGGACAAAAATTA